AGACAGGGTCTCCCTGTAGCCTCAGCTGGCCTGGAACTCACTATGTAGACCAGGCTGGCCTTGAACTCACAGAGATCCACCTGCCTCTGCCTCCCAAGGGCTGGGATTAAAGGCGTGTGCCACCACTCCCAGCCTCTGCCCCCTTATTTCAAGGAGCTGAGGGGAATCTGAAGTTTTAAGACATGAAGCTGCTTCTCAAGAGTTGTGTTGCTGCTTCTGCTAGAGAAAGTAGGAACTCATATTTGAGTCCAGCTCATTATATTTCCCACTTCAAAGTAAATCACATATATTAAGGGCTAAAACCCAAAGAGAGGAAACCGGGGAGGAATGTTTTACTGTGTGGGAAGAGATGAGGCGACAGCACCACTGACAACTGTCAACATGTAACCACATGCCCTGCTTCTTCATATATGCTGGAGTACCTCAGAACATGGCCTTATTTTACAGATGAAATATTTGTGGAGGCTATGAAGTTAAAAATCAGGTCCTTAGGGTGGGTGCTAATGCAATATGACCAGTGCCCTTATAGAGACAGGGGATTAAGACCACACACTAAAAGGGAGGTGTGAGAAGAGACACTGGATGAAGACAGCCATTTGCAAGCTGAAGACAGACCCTGAGCAGATCCTTTCTTTGCAGAGCTCAGAAGGAACCAGTCTTGCTGAACCTTGATTTTGTACATGTAGTCTCCACAACTCCACATTTCTGCTGAAGCCATCTAGTTTTTGGTACTTGGCTGCATAGCCCTGGAAAACAAATATTCTACAGAACCTAGAAAGTGCTGAGAAGACCCTAGGACTGAAGGACCAGTCGGAGAAAAAGTAAAATGATGAAATCATAGGTGTAGGGAGACTCAGAGAGATGAAAGGTTAGCCAAGTACAAACCAATAAAAGTGAATGCTATTTACTTTTTTTCTTATTAATGGGAGAGTGCAGACCCTGGAAGACCCGGCTGCTGTAGAGGCAGTTGGTGTGAGGGTTGCCTCTCATTGCTATTGTACAAGGAGCCAGCACAACATGGGAGCAGGCAAGCCAGAGACTTGTTGGAATCAATGATGATGCTTATGACTGGAGGGTGCACATGCCATGTCACCAGTCCAGGCCTCAGTATAATCCCAAGGTGGTTGTGCAGGGTGTGTTCTGGAAGCAGACAATCTTGAATTCCAGGTGTAGCCTTACCCCTGCTAGCATTTAACCTTTGTGCCTCAGGTCTTCTTCTATAAAAGAGGCAATGATAGCACCCCCTTATAGGGCTATGGTGCCTATTGGAGTTTACAGCACTCAGCAAGTGCTAGCTGGTATTATCAGAGGTGACAGTAATTCTCACCTCTCAAATTCAAATCAATACTAGACAATCCTCCACCTGATGCTGGGTGCTGACTCTACTGTCCCTGGATGACTGGTCTTGGGCACTAAGGAAAAGTAGCATTCAGCATGTGAGCCCAGTGGCAACTGTTAGTCTTTTTTTTTTTCCTTTAAACTTTTGGACTGCATTAAAAACAATTTTTTTTGGTCACATTTGTGTGCGTGTGTGCGTGCCTTGGTTATTTGTGTGGAAGAGAGAGGATAACTTGGGGCCAGGGTCGCTTTTCTCCTTGTGTATCCGGAGGATTGAATTCAGGTGAACCATCTTGCTGGCCCTTTGGAAGCCCCCAAAAAGTCACCTCAGGGGATCCCTCAGGTCCCAGAACCCAGGCTGAGCAGGGCAGACAGCCTCAAGCACTTGGTAGGTGTACAGTGTACTTGAGCACTAGACTGCTTTCCACTCTAACCATCCCCCGGGGCATGAATTGTTCAGGGTTGCCCCAAGTCTGGACATTGGCAGAAGCCCAGTCATGAAAGTCAAGGATTGGCGAAACCTGTTGTGGAGACCGTAATGAAATCAGATTACGGGTGTTCGCGTATATCGGTGCTAAAGAAAAGTGGAAACTCTTCGGCCACCATAGTCCCTCGAAGAAGAGAGGCCAGACCAATAAGTCACCGGGGTGGGCTGTTGATGGAAGCCGCTAAAGGGCGCCTGCAACATTCCCAGGCTTCGCATTGCCAGGGTTCCATAAGACTTGGGAGCTGAGACACTAAGACTTACCCTCTGCCCTTCCTCGGATTCGTTGTGAAACCACAGGGAAGTTTGGGTGACTGTAGCTGAGTTTGTATGCCGCCTTCTACACCCGCGCGCCCAACATCCCACAGCCAGGCGCTCTGGGACCCGAAGGCAGGAGTGGGGCAGGGCGGGGCCGGAGGGGTGGGCAGGGCCTGAGGGAAAGCCCCAGTCCCTGGCGGCCGGACAGGGCCAGCAAGATGGGCGGGGCCTGAGGGGGAAGGAAGAGGCTGGCGGGGGCGGGGCTGGCGAGAAGGGGCGGGGCCTAAAGGAAGCAGAGAGTCTGAAGGGGCGGGGCCTGAGTGAAGCAAGGGGCCTAAGGGGGCGGGGCTGAGCCTGAGAGACGGCGTGAGGCGGTACCTGCCAGACAAAGTGGAGCGAAGCCGGCTGGGCCGTGCGGGCGGGGAACGAGATGGGGCGGGGCGGGGCCTGCAAGCCGGAGCCAAGAGGGGCGGGGCGGCGCGGCACGCGCCCTAACAGCAGCCCGGCCCTGGCGCAGCTACGACAGTGGCGCAGCCAAGAGAGCAGCAGCGGTCGTGACTCCTTAAATAGGATCGGGTTCGGGAGCCGGGCAGTGAGTGGACTGCAGTGACAGCCGCCGGCGGGGCGGCGCGGTAGCGGAGGAGGTGAGTGCGCCTGCCGCGAGGAGCCGCGCTCGGCGAAGGCGACCCCAGCCGGGCCGAGACTAGAGAAGCGCCCCGCGGCTCCCGGTGACGTTCCGCTTTTCCGGCCTGGGCTCCGCGGCCTCGTGGCCGTGGGCTTTGGGAGGCTCCTGAGGCTTCCTGTGCCGGAGCGTGGTCCCCGCGGGCTGCGCGGGCGCTGGGCTGGTGCACGGCGGAGCTGGGGAGACGCGCCTGGCGGACCTGGCCTCTGGCTGGCGTGGCGGCGGGTACCAGCCCTGCCCGGCTTAGGTGCCAGGAGCTGCTCCTGGGGCTGCGGACCCTGGTCTCGCCGCAGCTGCACCCCTCGTGCCCGGGAGGCAGGGATTGTGCAGCGCACTCGCACCGCGTGAAGATGGACTGTCCGGGTGCAGTTCTGTGACGTCCCCTGCGCCCAGTGTTCGCAGGAGGGTCACAGGCAGCGCCAGGAACCGGTTGCCATACGTAGAAATTCTCGCGGTGTCTCCAAGAGGAGCGCCCACAGCCGCTGCACACAGCCGTGATGGAGTCATTGATTAAGGCAATTTGGCAATTCCTTTTGAAATAGGAAAGCAAAAATGATATTTACCACCTTGCAGCGTAGACAGCAAGTGCCGAGAGATGTCCTAGAAGAACACGTGGATTAGAATCTTAAGATCGACGCTCCGGCTAATCAGTGCCTTATGTCAGGGCTTGCAAACCTCTCCCCACTCCACCCAAGCTCAAGGTTATGGAGTCTAGTTAAGAATGGCCATTATAAAAGTGCCCTTGAAGTGCCCTGGTTAAGACTTTTAAGCCGTTTTCTTACAATGTAAGTATCCACCCTACCCTCCTTTTAGGTATTGACTTGATTACATTTAGAAACTTAACCTATGATTTTTCCAATGAAAACAATTATCGGCGTAACCCAAACAGATAAACAAAACCCAACCAACCAGTTGATTCTGGTTCTCTTCAGATGGAGGTGACAGGTTTTGCCCACCAAAACTTAAAGTTTGAGTTGATGGTCTCCAATGGGTGGGCTTAAGAAGATAGAGGTTAAAGAAACCCATCAGTTTGGAGTCACGCTGTGCAGTGTGGTAAGGACAGAAAACAAATAGGACCAGATAGGTCTTGGGGGGTTTTATGTGGTTGTTATTAGCTCAACTAGGAAATCCCTTCCTGTTGTGAGTCTGACTCTTCTGTATAAGTTCTGCATTAAGACTAAAATCTGTCATGAGCTAAAATTGTATGACTGGGAAAGGAAAATCACTTTATATACTCTCCTGAATTTACTGTAAACAGAAAACTTTTTAAAAATCACCCTCCCCCCACGATTATAAGCATTTTGACATATTTCCTTCCTGTGCTTGTTATTTATATTTTGGCAGTGTTTTTATTATTATTGTAGGCAGCCTGACTGAAAAGAAATCGCTGAGGTTTATAAGTTTTGACATTTAACAGATGGCATGTGACAAATGCAGGTAGGGGACAGGTTATCTATTTGTACTTTTCACCACTGCCTCCAGGTTCTGAGTTTGTCTGGAGTAACTGAAAGTATAAACCAGCATGCCACAATGTTGTGACCCAATGTCTTTAGCACTCTAGTTTTGATGTGGCTGTCTAGTGAATGGTGCTTCAGTGTTTAGAAGGGGACCCTGGGACAGCAGGTAGTTTTTGTCATTTGTAAATGGAGATTTTTTTCTTTCTCCCTCCCAGCCAGCTTGTTTTCTTTGACTGCTAGAGGATAGGATGACTAGTAATTTTTAGGTGTTTATACGCAGAGGATCATTTGGTTTTTATGATCAATTGAGTTTGCTGGGTAAGATTTCCATTTAAAGTGTCTGTTGTTCCCTTGCATGTACTGTCTCAACCAGTTTCTATTAAGTTCCATTACATTGGAAGTAGTTTATGGACAGCCATGTTTAGATGGTATGCTGTGCAAGGCATGTTTAGATGGTATGCTGCAGAATGGAAAGAATTCCTTTAAGGCAGCTTCAGAGTTTTGAGGTTCCTAAAGCTTCTCTAAGCCTGACTGTCCTGCCCAAGTAGATTAAAGTGACTGAGTTTTTAGTGGTCTTCAGTCCAAATTGGTAGTTAGACAAACCTGTCAGTCATGAAGTGCTTGTACTAATGCTTAGAGAATGGTTCTCCATGCAGACCTGATCTTGAAGCTGCAGTGCTCGATTTTAAGTTTCAACAGGCTAATACTTTGAGGGGCTTCTGAGAACTTTAAAGAAACAGGTTCCAAAGTAGTAGCTGAACTTGACCAACTAGACTGTAGAGGCAGTTTTACAGTGTTTGTGACAGTAGCTCTGAGATGCTAATCTTCATAAAATGCTGAATGTCAACTCCCAAGAAATTTTAGTTTTGTGTAATCCTGGAGTGATATGAACTATCCACAAGGGAAACTATCATTTGAATGAATTATGCTAATTTTTCCACTTCCTGACACCATTTCTTAACTGTTAGAGGCAAGAATATTCAATCATTTGCAACCTTTGAGGTATCAAGGTGGTGAGCTCTGGGGTGATGAAATAGTACCACCTCTTCCTTATTATGTGACTGACTAGAAGGGATGTCACTTTTTGCCTGGAGGTGTGGGGGTGGTATTCCTTTGGAAATGGGGGAGGCTACCTAAAAGCAATGTATGTACTATGTCCTAAGTCTGAGTTTTCAAAACTCAAAGACTGAATTCACACAGGGCCTGGGTTAGTTCTCCCATGGATTATGTGCTTGGTCTCCAAATTTTAAGTAAAATGCAAATGTTATCTAATCAAAGTGTAGATTTATTTTTCATATTTAAAAGTAGTATATGCTCATTATAAAAATTTGGGACATTTAAAAACTAAAATATTTGTACTAGTCATACAAATATTACATACTATTATGGCTCATTTTCTTTCTATTTTTTTCTTTTTTCTTTTTTTGGTCTCACAGAGATCCACCTGCCTCTGCTTCCCAAGTGCTGGGATTAAAGGCGTGTGCCACCATGCCCAGCTTATCTTTTTCTTTTTTAAAAAACAAATTGAAAAATATTTTAAGGCATATGTTGTCATTTGAAGTTAAACATTTTGATAATTCACTTATAATTCCCCCAGGTTTGTTACATATTTTTTAAAAATGAGTTTTGAAGATGATTGCTTTTAAATGATTCATTTCTTTCTTTTTGCTTAATATAGGAAATGCTGTCTCAGAGCAGTTTCTCAAGCGCTTATATATTTATATATTTAAAATAAAGCATGTTCTTAAAAACTTACTACAACAATGATTTGAAAATAATTTTCATTTATAAATGGGTTTTCGTGAACTTTTAGGTTAATGTAGTGGAAATCTGTTGAAATAAAGACTTCATGGTTTAGAAAGACAAATGGAAAGAAGTTAGGGGATCGAGAAGTGTGGTTTGCCTTTTAGACCATTTCCCCATTTTGGATGTGACTTGTGATAAATGTATTATCTATCCATTTGCAGAATTGTGGCTGCTGTAGAAACTGGCACTTTCCACTCAGGTTTGTTGGGGGAGAACTGTCCATATCCACAAGGTCCAAATATCCTGAAGACCACTGATTAGGAGAATCGAGAGAGCTGAAGCAGAAACTGCTTTTTCCCTAAAGCGCAGGTGCTAGTCAAAGCAGAACTGTGGTAGCTGCCAAAATGTGGCTAATATGAACAGGACCAATCACTGGGGACAGGAGAGGTGACAATAGTAGCTAATAGTATCTGTTCTTGCTGCTTCAGAGGCTAGCCAGTTAGCCCCCAAAGCAACCCTACAAGGCAAGCCTCACCCTTACTGTACTTTATGAGACCTAGAGAAAGTTGTACATGCCAGGATTTGAGTCTAGCTTGTCTGACTTTTGGAGCCTGTGGTCTCAATTGCTTTAGCTCCACTGCCCCTCTGGAGCTAGGTGTCTCAGTCCTGGAGAGCTTGAAAAATTCTAGTCTATTCAGAGGTTAGCAAGATAAGACAGTCTCCTTTGCACATGCTGTTGCTCCTTGGCTTTTCCCTGTCTCTTTTATACTGAGCCATGATTTTTTTTTTTTTTTTGTACCACCAGAGTTCCAAGTGAGAGAACAGAGTTTGAAGCGTGGTTTGGAGTATGATGAGATCAGTTGCTGCATAGCATGGCTTTCTAGAGAATTAGAAAGTAAAAGGCCTTGCCTGCCCTTGAACTAGGTCTTGGAAGCCAGGAGAACAGTTCAGATGCGTGATTAATGCATTTAGTGTTGAGGAAGAGGAGAGCACAGGAGCCTGAGTTTAAGCAGAGATGGTAGAGTCAAGAGCACTTTAATAGAGAAGAGGAGATTGGCCTCACTGTGGCACTCAGGTTTATTCTCTGCTGTGTATCTTGGGGGTACATTTGCCCCTTCTTGTTATAATCTAGAGATTGTGTTGAAAATTTAAAATAGACAAGAGAATGGAATCCTGGAATTTCAGTGTTTGAAGGCATTGTAGTATTGTCCAGTGATTCTGAGCCTTTTTCCTGGTGAAATTTTGGGCAAACTGGAAGACATGGATAAACATATCAGGGCTTCTGTGTATTAAGTGGGGAGGGCAAGTGTGCTGGTAGTTTTTGTGTCAACTTGACACACCTGGGTTAAGGGAGCCTCAATTGGGGAATTGCCTCCATGGGACTGGCCTGTGGCCAGGTCTGTGGGGCATCTTCTTGATTGATGAGTGATGTGGGAAGGCCCAGCTCACTGGGGGTGGTGCCACCCCTGGGCAGGAGGGCCTGTGTTGCATAAAAAAGCAGGCTGAGCAGGGGCCAGGGAGCAAGTCATTAAGCAGGGTTCCTCCATGGCCTGTGCTCCAGCTCCTGCCTCCAGGTTCTTGCCCTGAGTTCCTACCTTGGGCTCCCTGATGAACTGTGACCCAGGAGATGTAAGGCAAATAAACCCTTTCCTCCCCAAGTTGGTAGTGGTCAGAGTGTTTTGTCACAGCAATGGAGAAACAAGCTAGAGCAGAAATTGGTATCAGGAGTGGGGTACTGCTGTGACAGACCTGACCTTGGTGTTTTTAGGAGGATTGTGGAAGCATTCAGAATTTTGGGCTGAAAAAGCCATTGAGTGCTCAGAGTTTATTGCTGTGGAGCTTGGAACAGTTATGCTGAAAGAGTTGTGAATGGTGGAAACCTGGCTTGTGAAGCTTCAAAGGGAGGCAGAGACTATCAGGGCTGTTTGTGTGATATTTTGAATTGAGAATCTGTGGGTTCTGGTCAGCTGGGGCTGAAGAATCAGATGTGATTAAGAAGAGACCAGAACTTGAAGTAAAACCTTTGCTTTACTAGGAGATTTGATGCTGGTTAGATGGGGCTGGAAAATCAGCTGTAAGTAACAAGAGACCAGCATCACCATGGTGAAATCCTCTGGGAAGCATTTCCTCAGGGTCCGTACACAGAAGCTGTGATCGAGAGGGGGCCTGAGCCTCCATCTCTATCTGAAAGCAGGACTTGGTAATGTGTAAGAGTTTCCTGCATGGTTCTAGTGTTGAAAGCGTGGAGGGGTCACAGAGAGCAGCTGAGGCTTGACACTCTGAGAGGCCAGGAATGGCCATAGGTGAAAGTGCAGCTTCAGTTACAGTAAAGACCCTAGGACTGAAGGGGTCATGGAGAGAACCTGAGGCTTTGCACCCTAAGAGGCAAGAAGAGGGCATTGGTGATGGTGTAGCCTCAGTTTCAGTGGAGACCCCCAGCTTTTTGGAGATGCCAGGATGATGGGACAACCACCATGGGCAACAGCAGGTGTGGAATGGAGCCAGCCTGGGTTTTTGAGACAAGCTGTGTGTGCTGTGGATGGCAGAGTCAGAGAGGTGGAGCTGCTAGAACCCTTTGGAGG